TTTTTTAAGTTAAATATTTTTTCTTTTATTTTATAGCATATTTACGTAATAATATTACTAAAATACGTTTATTCATGCTATAATAAGTTTATTTAGTTATAATAAATCAATGTATGATAAATATTTAAATTGTGACCTTCAATTTTGATATTTATAAATTTTTTTAATTTTTTATTTTTTAATTAAATTAAAAATATTAGCCCATCGTAAATGTATTACTAGTGGTCTATATATTTATCACAATAATTTATATTATTGTTCAAAATAAAATGAATAAAGAATATTAGTTCGTAATACGCATCGATAGCAAAACAAAGGTTAGATTCCAAACAAAGGATATATTATAATCTGTGATAATTTTAAAACTAATAATCGTACATTCATAAATGTTATATCGAATTGTACAGAACGATATTTCAAGTCGTTCTGGCTTGGTGCCAAGAACAAACTACTTAACTGGAGTATGTGAATTTTAAAAAATGTTGCAAATTTTCACAGACAGATGTCAGTTCTGATGTATTATAATTTTTTTCTATTGAATTTTTTTATGGAAATGTATTTTAAAATATCGTATTTATAACTACAGATATTAATAAATGTAACGTGATTTTTGTCATATGAATATAACAATAACTTGATTTTTGGTGAATTTTTGAAATAATATAACTTGTTGACCTATATTGACCTTGGCCCTTTTAGACAATAAACGTAAACACGGGGGCGTGGTAACTGCTTCTAAGAAGGTTAAGCGCCACTTCCTATCTAAACATTTCTTTTTTGATCTCGCTAAGTCCCTCTATAGCATGCTCGACTTCTGGCATAATCTTTCCAGGAGTGAGTTTAGGTAATGGTGCGTACTTAGGTCTATACTTACATGCTTTTTTCAAGCATGTTGGAAGTGTGATGTCATCCCAGCATATAATTGCAGGGTTGAGCTGCATTTTACAACATTCTTGGTGCATTTTGATCCAGTCCATTCTTTTCTTATATCTCTTCTGTAATCTAACCGATACTTGATTAGCTAAGCCTACAACTCAGAGGTTAGTTTCCTTTAAAACTTGTGGTCCCAGCTCGTAAATCTCGTTTTCTACCTTAATTAGTACTTTTATCAACTTCCGGGATGCAAGCAAAATATCTGCAGCATGGCGAGCATGCATATTATAAGAGTCAAGAAAGTTAGCAAAGCGGCAACTCTCTTAACCTTTTGTATCTGTCTGCACTTTATTGTATTTNGTTTTCTTCACAAGCCAAAGAGCTAAAAAAGCCCCTCTCTATTCCGCGCCCTCGCTTTTATACTCCCCTCTTACCACGTCACACAGTCACGGACCAATCGGATGCCGGAAACCTAACCGTTGGCTAAGTGGTGGCACAGAGGAAGGAAACGGAAGTGAACAGTACAAAAACAATCATACGCGACGCGACATAAACGGAACTACAAACATATAAAATAACATACAATCATAGTCATGAAGTGCTACATGCCAGCAAGAACAACAACCAGAATCCGATCAGCAAACAGTTCAATCGACAGTTCTCCAAACATCCATTAATGTTATAGTCATCTTCTCCATGATATTCACAATTTTCGACATCCCAATTTTTCTGATATTTGCATTTCTCTCGAACGTCAATGACATTGCTGAATCCGAGAACTTCAGACACAACCTCTACTAGAAAACCATATCAGCCGCAAAGTCGCATACCAGTAAGAATATCCCCTTCCACATACACAAATAAGATACAGGTAAAGATTAGACAAGCAAAAATTGATCATGACAATTAGCAGAATTAATTAGAGATCACAACAATCTGCTAGCAAGCAAAGAAAAAGTGAACCGATCGAAACAGGAAGAATCGAAATTTAAATAGGAAATACAATGCATGGTTTAGAACTTCCGCGAGAGAAAAACAAAATAATAATAATAAAAGAGAGAGAGAGAGAGCAAAGAACCATTTAGCTGTAAACATTACGAGTCTTTAAATCTTGTACGCAATTGTAAATTATCCTTGCTTATTCCTAATTACCTTAGGTTACCCATTTTGTATTATCTCCGAGAAAGCAAGCAGATCGTGAAATTTAAATGTTGTATGGAAAGAAAAAAAAAAAACAATTGTAGGAAAACAAAATGAGAAGTAATTGTTCCGCGTTATAAGGAAAAATTTTTGTCGGAAGTTGTTGATTATATTGATAATATTGATGTCGAGGAAAAAAAATGTCTTTGATTACATGCGATAATAACCGCATTTTGTTGATTTTATGTAAACCTTAAGAGAGAGAGAGAGAGAGAGAGAAAGAAACAAATCTTTCATTTTAAACAACTACACCCATAGAAAGAAGAACAGTGAAAATCGATCTTGCTCACTCAGAACAAGCTCGATTTTGGAAAGGCCATGGTGATGTGAGGGACAAACAGACCCCCAATAAAGTTTTTTTTTTAACCTTTATTTAACCTAAAGTTATTTTAAACTTTAATTATTGGGAAATTCTTAACTTCAAGCGTTTTATCAAGTTAGGCTAAAAGCCATAAAAATTATTTCCCACAAAGTTGGTTCCTTGTTCAGGAGGATCCAGCTAGTCAGTGTTGTGTCACCCGGAACTTTCAATAAAGTGCCCACATTGGACGCCAGACCCTTAATAACAACCTCCTGACCTCATGGGAAAAACCCAAGAGGAATAATAAGGGAGAATGGAAAAAACACCTGAAGTCAGTTGTCTTCCAAAGTCCGTCCACCAAAGTCGTCCTCAAGGATAAATACCGTGACAAAGATTGTGCCTCTTTAAGGATATCATCCCCACTTTCGTGCCTCCACCCCTGCATGCTCCTGTTAACGGACAAGATCCAGAACCATTTGATTGAACATTCCCTCGGCGGGGACATCTTCCTACAGATCTTTGACTCAGAACAAAGGTATTTATCAACCTATGATTTGTTTGTAAACTCTCTCTCTCAAACGACCTAGTGTAAGTAGGGGAACTTTAAGCATGCCCACTATCGAATATATCTGTATTTTCTTTGGTTCTTATTTAAATTGTTATTTGTTAGTTAATGTGAAATCCAAGTGAATCACTTCCTCGTCTCTCTCCTCACCTCTGCTACGAAGCCCACTGCTCATCCGCTACCACTCGTGTGACATAAAGTCACGATTTCCGAGTCCTGAGAGACTCGGTGGTGTCACATCCTGACGTGGTGTCAACAAGACACTGACCCTACAGTCACAAAAGTATGCTGACATGCAACTATTTATTTTCAATTAATTAAACAATCAGTATGTGAAGAGCATAATGTAGTTAACAAATGCAAAAAATATGTAGAATCAAATTAGATTCAATCATTATTCAAGTCATAACTAAGTAAAAATCATTATTCAAAAGCACAGAAGATGAACTAAAAAGGTGACTTCTACAACCTATCTATAGACCACTCAACTAGTATAATTTACTTTACTTGCCAACTGAAATAGTTAACTTCAGAGTTGGCTAATTTAAGTGTTGATGTCAATTAAGAAGACCAAATTACTAATTCTATTGCTAGTTTATCTTGCAGAAAACTTTTTTAAATTGCTTGCCAAATGCAACCTGCTTGTTGGCAAACAATGAGCAACACAGTGCTAAATTAGCACTAAGTGCACTGTCTTTTCAATGTGATCTGTGTTCAAGATAAAAAGAAATGTTTTTGCAAGTACTTTAGACCTTTTCAAAAATGGCTTCATTAGGTAAATGGCAAAAGAACATATTTTTGAATGTTATTACAAAATTTTAAATTTTAACATTAGCTCATTCTAGATGGAACACGATTATGATACTTAAATTCAAACATAAAGACAAATTGAATGCCATGCAGATAGTCAACTATGTAGAATGTAATTCTTTTTACCTCTATGTCCTTACTGTTTTATATTTCTGTGTATATACTATATACTTGGACCTTGTTTATTAATAGGACTTATTATACTGGTGTAAAAAAGTCAAAACAAAATAGTGGTACCTCGGTATACGTCTGCTTTAGAATACATCCAATTCGGAATACATCCTGTTTGGACAAAACAAATTTTGCTCGGTATAGAACTTTTGTTCGGTATAAGACTTAATTCAATTATATGTGCCATCTATGAACAAGTAGCACTATCAATGTACTAGACCAGACTAGATGTTCGTGATGCCACAGTTTCTAACTTTGTTAAATTTCTTCTGATTTTAATTTGTAAGAAAAATTTTATTACTTTTATTAATCATGAATTGCAAAAAGGCAAATGAAAAGCAGCAGAAAACTAAAAAAATTTACTAGAATCACAATGGAACCGAAAAAAGAGATTGTTGAGAAATATGAAGGTGGCATGCATGTTCGAGATTTAACTGTTGCATACCGTATTCCGAGAACGACGATATCGACAATCGTAAAAAAAATAAAGACATTATTAAATCTGCTAACGTTGCGAAAGGAGTTAAATCAATTTCTAAACAGAGATCGAAGACATTAGATCATGTTGAGAAATTGCTTTTGCTTGGATAACTGAAAAACAGTGTGCTGGCGACATCCTATCAGAAGCAATTATTTGCGAGAAAGCTAAAAAGATACGTGCTGATCTCATGAAAAATCAAGCAGGAACTAGCCAGGAAAGTGAGATGTTTAAAGCCAGCAATTTTTTTTATATGTGAGAACAGATTAATCATTTTTACATTACTTCTTGTGAGAAAGGTTAATTTGGTATACGTCCTATTCGGTATAAGTCCAAACATCAGGAACGGATTAAGGTCGTATACCGAGGTTCCACTGTATAAGAAAGTTGTTTTCTTTGTCACAAAAAAAACCAAAATTTCTTTCCAAACAACCAAATATTTTCGTATCTTTAAATATTTGTTTATTCTAAGCTGATTTCAATCCTTTAATAAAAAAATTAACCACATAATGAAAATTACTTCAGTTTTGATTAATAACTAGATTACATTATCTCTATTATTAATATTAACACAGACAGAGTTAACTGAGATTAATTTTTACCTTTCTACACAATCGAAACGTGAAGCACTTGGATTTACAGCTGGTGCATCATGTCCACCTAGAGCAAATAAGTATTCATTGGCAACACCGACCCCAACACCACCTCTTCTCTTCATCATAGGTGCACAGAGAGTCCATTTATTTGTATGTGGGTCAAAGCATTCTACACATCTTAAACAAGAACTTCCATCTCTTCCACCAACAGCATACAATCTGTAATATAATTTACATAAATAATAAAATAGTAAATAACTTTGGATCTTGATCAATAATACAGTAAAATGTCAGTGTAATGAAACAGTGAGGATCACAGAAGTACATTTCTTAAGTAAAATTTTAGCAAGCTGAAATATCACCAAAACACTAGCGTTAAAAAATTCTTAAATAATGAAATACACTTAGAGCTTGAAAGCACAGCATCTTCGAAGCAACAGTTTTTCTAGTACAAATAGTTAGAGCAAATTTCACACTTTTAAATACACAGTCAATAAATAATTTATGTAAAAATATAAACATCTAAACTTAATATTTATATATTAAAGCCAAATGAGTACCAAATTATATTGGATTATATTACTAATACTGTACTATTATTATTAATAGTAATTGTAAGTAAAAGTAAATATTATTATTATTAATAGTAATGTTAAGTAATTTGGCACCAGAGGCAGGCATTTGATGTCATCTCTTGCTAAATTTAATAATTATAATAATTAATTTGGAGGGTTTTGGAAGAAAAGAATTGGCTCAAAGTGGAGCTCAAACCCACAACTCCTAAATACACTCAAACAAACCTTTACATATGCAGCCGTAATTTAATAGATTAACGTTTTTGACCATATTCAATGGTCTTTATCAAGAAAAAACTGAACAATCGAACTTCGAACTTAAAATTTGCGTTACTGATACAAGCATTATTTTTGGAATGTTTTTAAAAAGATATTCTATTGTATAAGCGCCATCTCTACATATTGGCTGTAACTACAGTAGTTAAAAATAATACCAGTAAAATACATTAAAATACAATAAAGTGCAGACAGATACAAAAGGTTAAGAGAGTTGCCGCTTTGCTAACTTTCTTGACTCTTATAATATGCATGCTCGCCATGCTGCCGATATTTTGCTTGCATCCCGGAAGTTGATAGTTAAACCTTTTTGGCTTGTGACAAAAAGCACCTCAGATGCACTGAAGCCTGGCATATCTGCAAAGATATGCCAGGCTTCAGCGCATCTGAGGTGCTTTTTGTCGCGTACTATTTGTATCAATTTAGCTCAGTCCCACTCCGCTTTGACCTCTTGTGGGTTGGCTAAGACTTATGTTGCCAGCGCTGTGCACAGCTGTTCTTTTCTTATGTTTCTCTGGTGCTCTAACAGCCTTTGTTTGGTGGATCTTCTGGTAGCTCCGATGTAGAACATCATATTCTGCCTCCACGTGTCTGTAACCGGGATTCTGTAGACTCCTGGAAGAGTGTTCTTGTCCACAGCATCTTTGTCTGCCCTTAGCAACTGATAAATAGTGGGATTCCTTTTGTATATTATTCTTTTCTTTGTAGCAGCTCCTATTCGCCTATATACGTTGCTTAGCGAGGCCTTGTATTCCATCGTGAACTCTTCTGTATTTTGTAAACTTCTCATCTTGCTACGTGTCTTACATTGTCTTTTTATAGCTTTAATATTAATCCCATGTCTCTTAGCTAGTTTACTGATATAACAGAACTCTTCGTTTCTGTCCTGGGTACTGCTGCAGTGCGAATAAGCTCGCACAATGAGCGCCCGGAATGCGGCTAGCTTATACTTAGGTGGGTCGTGTGAATTCCATGGGATAAATATCAAGTTGTACGTAGGCTTTCTATAGACTTTAGTGAGAAAATTCCCTTTGCTGTCAAGTTGTATAGATAAATCCAGAAAGTGTATGCGCATATTACTTTCTTGCTCTAGTTCAATTTCGAGGCCGAACTTGTTGTCATTAACGTTCTTTATGAATTGCTGTAAGTTGGGTTTGACATTCCATAAAATAACCACATCATCAACATACCTTGCATACAGTAGGATTTGCGTTTCATAAATTGGCACAAGTGCATTCTCTAGCGTTCTTAACACCATCTCACATAAAGTACCCCCCATTGGGCTTCCCATGGCGATGCCATTCTGTTGCGTGTATGTGACGCCTTTAATTAAAGTTGAAAATAGAAGAAAAAGTTGCTAGATGCGTCAACTCTAAAATATGCTTTCTCTTCTTTTCTGAATGCTTGATCTTGCTTAAAAGGAAATCCCATAAACGGCAAAAACATGGTTCTAATAGGATGAAAGGGTACAACGCCTTGAAATCCAATATGGTNATGAATGAATGTATTTTAGTAATATTATTACGTAAATATGCTATAAAATAAATGAGAGAATATATGAATTAAGAAAATAAATCGCTAAATAAAAATTTCTGAGTCGACAAAACACCACCTGGACAAAAATATGTTAAACAGATGGTAGACAACACATTACAGTCAAGTGGTGGCATCTGTTGCCAAAAATTTTCATTAAAATCGATTTTTCGCAGGGTAACGACGAATCCCTAGTACATTGTTATAACAATGGGGGGTGTGACAGATCGTTACCCTGGTTTTAAAAAAGTTAAAATCAAACAAGATTATAGTAAAAGGGATTGCGACACAATCTGGGCAAACATCAGGAAAAGTCAGGAATGGCTGAAAGCTAACAATCTGGTGCTCACAAGGGCTGACAAGTCCAAGGACTTAGTTGTCATGAAAAGAAGCACTTACGACGATTTTTTGTTAAAGTACATCAGTGATATGCATTGTATTAAAGCACACGTATGGGCTCTAGAAAGACAGCAGGCAAGAGTTAAAAGATTTGCAAACACACCGTTGGCTAAAGAGCTTGGTTTGACGAAGATAATAGTTTACGCGCTGTCAGCACCTAGGCTATTTGGATTCGCCAAAATCCATAAAAAGGATAAAAGCTTAAGGCCTGTCGTTGATAAAGGATGTGCACCCACAATATTATTGGAAAGATTGATCAATGAGTTCATTCACAAGTACTTGCCCCCACATCGATATAGCGTAAAACAACCTTTAGAGCTTCTACAGAAAATGGCAAATATAAAGTCCCAAGAAGTTAAGTATATGACCATATTGGATTTCAAGGCGTTGTACCCTTTCATCCTATTAGAACCATGTTTTTGCCGTTTATGGGATTTCCTTTTAAGCAAGATCAAGCATTCAGAAAAGAAGAGAAAGCATATTTTAGAGTTGACGCATCTAGCAACTTTTTCTTCTATTTTCAACTTTAATTAAAGGCGTCACATACACGCAACAGAATGGCATCGCCATGGGAAGCCCAATGGGGGGTACTTTATGTGAGATGGTGTTAAGAACGCTAGAGAATGCACTTGTGCCAATTTATGAAACGCAAATCCTACTGTATGCAAGGTATGTTGATGATGTGGTTATTTTATGGAATGTCAAACCCAACTTACAGCAATTCATAAAGAACGTTAATGACAACAAGTTCGGCCTCGAAATTGAACTAGAGCAAGAAAGTAATATGCGCATACACTTTCTGGATTTATCTATACAACTTGACAGCAAAGGGAATTTTCTCACTAAAGTCTATAGAAAGCCTACGTACAACTTGATATTTATCCCATGGAATTCACACGACCCACCTAAGTATAAGCTAGCCGCATTCCGGGCGCTCATTGTGCGAGCTTATTCGCACTGCAGCAGTACCCAGGACAGAAACGAAGAGTTCTGTTATATCAGTAAACTAGCTAAGAGACATGGGATTAATATTAAAGCTATAAAAAGACAATGTAAGACACGTAGCAAGATGAGAAGTTTACAAAATACAGAAGAGTTCACGATGGAATACAAGGCCTCGCTAAGCAACGTATATAGGCGAATAGGAGCTGCTACAAAGAAAAGAATAATATACAAAAGGAATCCCACTATTTATCAGTTGCTAAGGGCAGACAAAGATGCTGTGGACAAGAACACTCTTCCAGGAGTCTACAGAATCCCGGTTACAGACACGTGGAGGCAGAATATGATGTTCTACATCGGAGCTACCAGAAGATCCACCAAACAAAGGCTGTTAGAGCACCAGAGAAACATAAGAAAAGAACAGCTGTGCACAGCGCTGGCAACATAAGTCTTAGCCAACCCACAAGAGGTCAAAGCGGAGTGGGACTGAGCTAAATTGATACAAATAGTACGCGACAAAAAGCACCTCAGATGCGCTGAAGCCTGGCATATCTTTGCAGATATGCCAGGCTTCAGTGCATCTGAGGTGCTTTTTGTCACAAGCCAAAAAGGTTTAACTATCAACTTCCGGGATGCAAGCAAAATATCGGCAGCATGGCGAGCATGCATATTATAAGAGTCAAGAAAGTTAGCAAAGCGGCAACTCTCTTAACCTTTTGTATCTGTCTGCACTTTATTGTATTTTAATGTATTTTATTGGTATTATTTTTAACTACTGTAGTTACAGCCAATATGTAGAGATGGCGCTTATACAATAGAATATCTTTTTAAAAACATTCCAAAAATAATGCTTGTATCAGTAACGCAAATTTTAAGTTCGAAGTTCGATTGTTCAGTTTTTTCTTGATAAAGACCATTGAATATGGTCGAAAACGTTAGAATGTATCAATTAAATTACAGATGCATATGTAAAGGTTTGTTTGAGTGTATTTAGTTAAGAAATGCAGTCTCTGACGAGTTATAATTGGGCCATAACTCCTGCTTACCATTCAGTCACATTGCCAGTTAAGAAGTGATAACCAGCCGAATGCTATAGTGGGAGTTATCAGCTGTAGGCATCAAGTTGTCTCCAGCCAGCACCACAAGTAACAGAGTAGTCGGACAAAAGTCCAAGCAGCATAACTTGCAACACGGCATGTGGAAGTTCCAGACTTGATTCCCACTCTAGGACAATTCTTTTCTTCCAGAATATTCCAAATTTAGTAAATATTAATTTAATTATAATTATTAAATTTAATAAGAGATGGCACCTAACGCTTACCTATAACACCAAATTGCTTAGAATTTAATTATTAACAATAGTGGAAAATAGTCCGATTCAATTATGGAAATCTTATGGTTCATTACAAATTTCATGATAGTAATTACTTTCCTTTGTAAAAGTTGAACTTTAATAACATTGCATTCAATTTTTTATTGCAGTGATACCTGTTAACTTGAAATAATCTTATGTTAACATACATAGTAAATTAGCAGAAGATTAAAACAAACTTGTTATAATGGTGTGGCTAACGCCGCCCTTCACATCTGTACCCTTAACCATTGTAAAATACAAGCAACGACCCCGGGGTGTATGAGTCATCACTTCCTGGAATAAATTCGAACTCACCCCACAAAGACCATCAAACACCAGTTGTCTTTGTTAGCCGCGTCATCAAGACGTGCTGTACCAAGTACGTGAGAAGGAGAATAAAAGTTTAGTTTCTGTTATGATCTCGTCTTGTTTGTTTCTTTCACTCACAGTGATGAAAGATGAAGGCAACAACAATGCAAACCCACATTGGTGAGCCAGACTAAGAACTATCATTGGAGCCTTCATCAGGTACATCGTTTACCACCTTTTCTCAAGACCTCAGTCATCACATCATGGCTGAGATTGGAGCGGTAAAAATCCCTCCATACAACTTTTCCGACCCAGCCTTATGGTTCCACATGTGCGAAAGCACATTTGCGCTAGGATCTCCAAAGCTGATCACAGGAAGTGCCACAAAGTTCAACTACGTAGTGGCCCATTTACCACCGGAAGTCTCATCAACGGTTAAAGACATTATTATTTCTCCGGACCATACAGACCTGTACAGTCACATAAAGGTGGAACTTATTACACGATCCAGCAAATCGTCTCAACAGGAGTTACAAAAACTATTGGCCGGAGAACAGCTAGGAGATTGCAAACCCTCTGAACTACTACGTATTCTAAAGCATTGGGCGGAAAATTTTCAAATCTCAAACGCAATTATATTAGAATTATTCACACAACACCTTCCGACTTCCGTCCAATCTATCCTAGCTGCCATTACCCCACTCGACGTAAACAAAGCAGCAGAGGTAGCAAACTGCATGGTGAAAGTAACCCCCGCAATGATAGCTTCAGTGTCGCAACCTGAGAAACCCGATACCGTAACCAACAAAATACTAGTCGACATAAATAAACTTAACAAGCGAATCAATCAACTAATGCAGGCACGTTGGGATCGCAGTGACCATTTTTCTGAACACTCCCGCAACAGTTCAGGACATCGCAACAATTCAACTCGCCGCAGTATCAACAACTACTGCTGGTACCACAACCATTTTGGTGCAAAGGCACAAAAATGTACTCCTCCGTGTAGTTTTCCAACAAACGAGAGCGGCGAAGCATAGAGGCAACATGCACTTTGCTGGAACAATCTCATCGCCTGTTCATCCTAGATAAGAGAACAAACAAACTTTCTCATCGACACAGGTTCCGACGTATCAATATTTCCAGCTTCCTCGTCTCAAAAGAAACGCGCATCTCAAATGACCTTGATGGCTACAAACACAACTGCAATTCATGTCTACGACCAATGAACACTCACTCTCGATTTTGGGTTAAAGAAAATTTTTCGCTGGAAATTCCTTATTGGCAACGTGTCAACAGCAATAATAGACGCAGATTTCTTGTATCATTTCTATTTAGTACCGAATCTTAGATGCAAATGTAAGATGTTCAGTTTTTTCTTGCTCACAGACGTTCAGACAAAAGTGAACTCTCCAGGCAAATTATTAGAAACCTTCATCCACTCTATTAAGATAACGACCAACGACTCCATATATCATAAGATATTGGAAGAATTTCCTGAGATCACCAGACCTCCACGTCCTAACCAACCAGTAAAACACAACGTTGTACATCATATAGAAATGATTGGTCCACCCGTAACTGCGAAACCACGTCGCCTAGCACCAGATAGACTTAATTAATTAAAATCGCTAAGGCCGAATTTGATAAGATGATAGCTCTCGGCCATATGCAAACATCAAAAAGCAATTACGCATCACCATTCCACCAAGAAAAACAGTTCAGATTGGCGACCCATGGGAGATTATCGTGTTCTAAATGCACAAACCTTATAAAGGACAGATACGGCATTCCAAACATCACAGATTTCACATTGGAACTGCAAGGAACACAAATCTTCTCTCACATAGACTTAATCAAGGCCTATCATCAGATACCCATCTATCCACTGCACATGCACAAAACAGCTATAACGACACCATTTGGTCTTTTCGAGAGTACCAGGATGCAATTTGGATTGTGCAATGCATCAGCAACATTTCAATGGTTCATTGACAAAGTAACTGGAGGACTCTCCTTCACATATGCTTTCGTCGATGACATACTAATAGCATCACGCTCCCAGGAAGAACACATCTCACATCTTATTCCAACGTCTCCAGGAATATGGGTTGACCATAAATCCGTCAAAATGTACCTTCGGCATACCATCAATCGAATTTCTCGAATTCAAGGTCTCAGAAAAGGGTCTGGAACCACTCTCTGATAGAGTCAGAGCCATCCAAGAATTTCCGAAACCTTTGTCTCTCACTCAACTTAGACGATTCTTGGGTATAATAAATTTCTACAGGAGATGCATCCCTCGAGCGGCACACATCCTCGCCCCGCTAGTGCAGCTACTAGAAGGAAAAAAGAACAAGAAACGTACATCACTCACTCGGAAAGCAGAATCACGATCTCTGCAATGGTCAGAAGTGGCAGAACAATCCTTTATATCAGCTAAAGAAGCACTGGCCAAAGCCACACTTCTCCACCATCCAATACCCGGGGCTAAACTATGCATATGGGTAGATGCATCAGATGCAGCAGTTGGAGGAGCACTGATGCAATACAACAGGAAATGGGAACCCATCACTTTTATCTCAGCAAAACTGGCACCAAATCAATGCAACTGGTCAGCTTACAACAGAGAACTATTGGCAATATATACATCAATAAAACAATTTTGCCATGTTAGAAGGCCACAAATTAACGATCTACACAGATCAAAAACCATTTATATACGCCTTCAAACAAAAACCAGATAAATGTTCACCTCGACAAATGCGGCATCTCGATTTTGTATCCCAATTCTCTACAGACATACGTCATATTCCGGGCACAGCCAACACAATAGCAGACGCTCTCTCCCACATCGAGATAGATTCTATCACCTCTGCTTCCCCTCTAGACTTCCGAGAGCTAGCCACAACGCAAGCTACAGCTTTGGGACTTCATCAATTGTTAAAGGATCCTATGTCGCTCAAATTAGAGCTGAAATCCTTTCCACCTAACAAAATCGACCTATACTGTGACACATCATCCGGAATACCTTGCCCCTTCGTGCCTCATAATTTCCGACGAATCATATTCAATCACCTACATGGACTTTCTCATCCAGGAGCAACAGCAACCACTAAGCTAATTTCAAGCCGTTATGTTTGGCCAGGCAAGCGGAAGGACATCCATCAGTGGGCACGACATTGCATCCCCTGCCAGAAATCGAAAATTCATTACCATGCCTGGACACCAACAGGGAAGTTTACACTTCTGGAAGCAAGATTTTCCCATCTTCACATGGACCTGATAGGACCACTTCCGCCAGCTGACGGGAAATACTACTGCCTTACAGTGATCGACCGTTTTACCAGATGGCCAGAGGTCATCCCAATTGCCGACATATCTGCTGAGATGGTATGCAGAGCCTTTTTCTCAGGTTAAATCACAAGATTCGGATGCCCTACTACCATCACCACTGATCAAGGACGTCAGTTCGAATCAAACCTCTTCCAAGAACTGACCAGACTTCTCGGCACCAATCGCATCCATTCAGCAGCATACCATCCCCGATCAAACGGTTTAATAGAACGATTACATAGACACCTGAAGGCATCGCTAATGGCACACGAATCTTCCAAATGGACCGACGCCCTTCTGGTAGTCCTCCTGGGAATTCGTTCAGCAATTAAAGCCGATATAGGCACAACAGCAGCCGAACTGTTATATGGTACTCCATTAAAATTACCAGCTGACATCATTAGCCCCGACACCCCACGAGTTCCTTGCGAATCATTTGTCAGTCAACTAAAAACACACATGTCCAACCTGAAACCATTAACAACTTCCACTCATTCCACCCAGAAAATTTTCATTCATCCAGAGCTAAAGGAATGAACACATGTTTTCTTAAGATTCGATGCAAACCGACCTCCTCTTTGCCAGCCTTACTCAGGCCCATACAAAGTGCTAGAAAAACATGACAAAACACTAGTAATTGACATCCAAGGTCGCAAATCAACCATCTCCATTGACAGAGTAAAACCAGCGTATATCTTACAGGACGAATCATCCCAGAAATCTATTATCAAACCCATCCAGTCAAGCCCATCGCAGACAGCACTGTCATCAGCAACAGCGAACAACAAAAAACTGGAAACTATCTCTAGAAAAGATCAAACCATCACAACTAGATCAGGCCATCACATTCATTTTCCTAAAAGACTAGTCACCATAATGTAATGTTAAGCGACTCGTTCGACATCAATTCTACCGCTCGTCCCTCACTGGGGGGATACTCTGTGGCGAATGCCACCCTTCACATCTGTACCCTTAATCGTTGTAAAATACATGCAATGACCCCGGGGTGTATGAGTCATCACTTCCTGGAATAAATTCGAACTCACCCCACAAAGACCGTTGAAAACCAGTTGTCTTTGTTAGCCACATCATCGAGACATGTGCTGTACCAAGTACGCAAGAAGGAGAATAAAAGTTTAGTTTCTGTTACAATCTCGTCTCGTTTGTTTCTTTCACTCGCAGAGATGAAAGATAAAGGCAACAACAATGCAAACCCACAATGATATTCATTACAGTGAAATTTTACTGTATTCATAGCAGCTGTAATACTTGCTTAAAAAATATTTTACAATTATTCTTCTTCTGGAAAAATAATCATTTCACACAATATATTTGAACTGAGAGATTCTTTAAAACTTTTGCAATTGGCCTTAAAGCCACAGAAGTAGATTATTCTGGATATTATTCAGATTTCTTAGTAGCAGGATTAAAACCTACTGCTAAAAAATCAGAATAATACAGATTCAGAGTCTTTGGATAATTATAAAATTTATGGAAGACTATTGTGAGACCGGGGATTTTAAGAGGATTTTGAAATCAATGTTAAACTTTTTTTTTAAATTGTAAACATTCCCGATAAAAAAAAACTCTCTTTGCAGAGTATCAGATCAGATGTCACCTTTTGTATCAACAATTAAGTGGGAAAGTTCATACATAGTCTTCAAAGAATGCAAGTCATTGTCAACAAAGGACGATCATGTGACCCCTTCCCACAGTAATGCTATAAAGAATGGCATCCAGAAGCTCAGGCGCTCAACTGGAAATTGTACTTGAGATAGTGCACAATTTAGCCTCCACATCCTGATCACCAAGGAAACAGTGGATGAGAACTACGATACTTTCATAATTGTAAGAGATCGTCGCCAATAACTCTCCATCAACACACAGAGATAATTGTTAGTGGTCTGTGAACTGTCTCTCTCAATGGAAATAGGCTTAGCTGTTATAGATTAGCCCTGTTGTAAATAATTTGTCTTCCAATATCACAATTCAGTGTCAGAAGTGGAATTAAGCCAACTTCCAGGCATTCGATAAGCTTGTCTGTGAAAGATAGGTTGTCTGCAGAACACAAGTTTTGTCTGCCAAAACAGGGTTTGCGATAGCCAAGTTCCTTGCTACATTCAGTCAATTCTCATATATTTTAGCATAAGCATGGAAGGAGAAAACACTAAGGCAGTTTTGGGCAGCATAGGAAGTTTCATCCCTCTATTACCAGCATTCTCAGGCGAAGTACAGGGAATCCGTGTGACCAAGTTTTTTGAGTCCCTGGAAGATGTTGCCAAATTAGCTGCATGGACCAAACTGCAAATGTTGGCTGTGGTGAAGCTAAGACTTACCGGAATTGCCCGAGAATTTGTGCACAAAGACTGGAAAATAAAGGATGTCGATAAGTACGATGCCTTTAAAAAAATAATCTTGGAGAGATTTCAACAAGTGTCTTTTTCGATCCAGTTGATTCAGTTTTATACATGCATACAGCAGAAGGACAAGGATGTGCAAACTTATGCCATCCGACTCCAGGCCCTTGCTACAGAGATAGAGATAAAGCAAGAGGGAGCAGATGCTGCTGAGGCTGCTATGATAAAGTGAATTCAAGATAAAGAATGAGACAAGCAGTTGAAGGCTGTTTTTGAATGGAATCAATATTAAAATTAGACAAAGTGTCATGTCATGAGAGCCAGTGACATTTGGTGATGCGCTAAGGGTTGCAATAAGTGAAGAGACTATTGACAGTCTTAATGCATTCCCCAGTACCATCATCAGACCCATAAGAGAAGCCGAGCCCACAGAGGAAAAATCTAATTACAGTTGGGAAACATTAACTGCCACCATCAAGGAACTCAGAACTAGAGGACAATCATCACAGTTGTATATCGTGTCTTTGGTGCTGATTGCACATGTTACACGTCACCAGTTAACTTGTCAGAGGAAGC